GTGTGCATTCTCCAGCCGGGGGAGGGGGGAGAAAAAACGTGTGTCCAGCTTGCTGTGCACCTGCAGGCTACTGTCTGTAAGAGCAATCAGGTTCTATTGCCCCCGCACCCCAGCTGCAGCCAACCCCCTCCTGATTCTGCTCACAGACGGCTCCCCTGTAGAGAGCAAGGGGCATCCAAGGTGGAGCCACCGATGTAACTCTCGCACCTTGTTACCTCTGAGCCTCTGGTGAGCACCTGCCCACCTAGGTAGGTCTGTGTTTGACGTGGCTTGCAAGCCCGTTGATCATATAAACCCACTGGGAAAGAACACTCGCTCTCTCTTGATCCCCACACGGGGAGAGGGGAGCCCCTGGGAGTCTGTCTCTCCTCCCGTCTCCCCTAATTTCACCGCCGATGCTTTAAGCTGTGGGGTCAGTCTGGGGGACCAGCCTCCACAACGGAACGGGCCTGAGGGGGTTGGTTGTGTAATGGAGGGGAAATGAACGAAACATCAGACAAGACGTGGAAGAGCTCACCTCTCTGATGATCCTGGAACCAGAGAGAGAGAGAGAGAGATCTATTCTCTTAACAGGCTTATAAAATCTCGGGCATACAAGAGACTCCATACACGTATGTAACGGAAGGGGTTGTATTAGAGACATACGTGTTCACGGGAAGGGGACACGCTCCGGGCACAGGTGTAACAGGAAGGCACAGACGTAACCAATGGGTGGGTTCTAGCTGGCAGCTGAGCTGGCTTGACCTTGGGTGACCTGAGTTCTTCTCCAGGGACACCATCTGTGATCCTTATCACACGGGAGTGGCCTTACTTCGGGTAAGAGGAGAACGGGGTCTGATTGCTCTGGAAGGCAGAAACCTGCAGGTGGACAGCCTTTAAGCAGTTGGCCTTCAAACGGAGCTAGTGGCAGCCATGTACTGGCACGCAGCACCTCAAATATGGCATTATTACGGTGAGGGGTGGTGGGGGCATTGTGGGGAACAATTTTTACTCAGGAGAATGTGGCTGAGAGTCACCTCCAACCCATGCACGTGATGGCCTTCCCCCACCAGAGTCTGCCTCCCGGACCCCTTAACTATGAGCCCAGAGAATGTGTCCGCAGACCCTCTCTTCCGGTTTCTCCGTTTCCCGCAGGTGGGTCCCTACAGAGATGGACTTGGGAGCGACCACAAGGTGTCCAGGGGGCCGGGTATCAAAGACCCCAAACAAACAATCAAGCAAACAAAAAGCACATCAACAGGAGTGAGGGGGAGGGCAGAGGGGAGACCCAAAGCCCATCACTAGTCAACTGGACACCCCCTGTCAGGACGGCCACAAGGAAGAGAAGGCCAGTCAGGGTGCAGGTCGGCACGGATGAAACACACAACCCTCCTCTGGTTTTCCATGCTTCCCTCCTGGCCCCCCACCCCCACCCCGTGTGTACCCCGATCCCAATTCCATCTTACAAATCTGGCTAGACCAGAACATGTA